CAGAGCTTGTTAGCACGCCGATCTCTTCAAGCCCAGCTTCAGGTCAGTATGTGACTCTGCTGTTTGGTCAGCAAGTTGTAAGAGGAAGGCTTTCTGTTTGGAACTGAAAAGTAATACTTCAGTAAGAGCTTGCATACTTGAGTTGCTGTAATACTTAGTCTTGTTTGAAATCCGTTGGCCAGATTCTAGTTCCATGAATGTAACTCTTTTTGAAAGCAAATCCTAATTTTTCTAATAAATTTCTAGTGAGCTGCAATATGCTTTCTGTTTTAGAGGCTAGGTGTCCTGCATGTTGGACAGAGAATTGAAGAGCAAGCAGACTTTGAGAAAATCTACAAAAATGGTAGGCTCTTTAGAGTTTAAACAGTCTCTTTTTTGAAATAGAGTGTGTAACCTCCTTAATTTTTTTTAACACTTTCCTGTTTACAGCATGGGCTGATAATGCTAATGCTTGTGCCAAACAGTATGCTGGAACTGGTGCCTTAAAGACAGATTACACGAGGCAAGTCAGAATTTTCCTGTAATGGCTTTCTGTTTTTGTACATGTTTGAAGATTTCTTTAAGTCTTCATATCTGACTAGATCTATTTTGGGCTCATCCTGTTAATTAGTTTTGCAATAGTTCAGCTGATAAAATGAGACTAAAATCTACAGAATAGTATTATTATTCACTGTAATTTTAAAGAAAGGACAATCTGGAAATCATGAAAGTTGGGCCCATTCGAGATACACTTGTGTTGTGGGAGGGGTTAAGTCTGTATGGTAATAATGCCAAGGCAGCACTGGATAAGTGTATTTTCATGTAGGTATGCATTAAACTTAGCGTACTTTTGAATGATAAAAGAATTATAAATCTGAAATTCTCTTCTTGAGTTTATAATTGTATTATAAGTGTTTTTCAAAACTTCTTTTTACAGAACTGGAAAAAGAACTCAGTGGGGCTTAATTATGGATGGCTGGAACTCATTAATACGTTACTACAAAAATAACTTTTCTGATGGATTTAGACAAGTAAGTTGAACTTCTAACTATGGGGAAATATATTTAAACATTGCTGTGCATTGTAAATTCTTGTGGGTTTTTTTTAATTTATTTATTTTTTCTCCAGGATGCTATTGATCTCTTTCTTGGTAATTATTCAGTGGATGAAGTAGAACCTGCTAGTCCTCTACATGTCAAGAAAGATTGGAAGTTCTTAGCTGTGAGTATGGAGATTTGGCTCATGCTTGGAGAAACAGATGTAACCTTTTAGTTACTTGCTTCAGTAAGACTTAAGTAGAAATTGTCTGTTTAGTAATGGAGTGTCCCTATAATCCGGTTATGTTTCTATGATACCCGCTTATAGGACTAAACCCAGACTGTTCCCTTGACAGAAAATGGAGTGTCCTTGAGGTATTGAAAAACTGCTTGCTTTTTTTAAATCTGCTTCATCAAGTGGAAAGGGAGAAATTCTGCAGGAGGAAACAGTTGTTGATGGGGACTAGTAGAAGAAGCTTGTGAAGATCTCATCTTCTACTTCATACAGAAGCGTAGAGTGTAACATGAAGAAATCTTAATTTTTTTGCCGTCCTCCCCCGTGTATATCATGTAGTGAAATGGGGTGGGGATATTAGAGGTTGAATTGGTGGTTCATGTATTTATATTTAAAAAAAAAAAGTTCACCCCTCTTCTAATATAATAGAAGATACATTTTTAGTTCTGAACTTATTATTGAACACACCTTTACAAGTTTTAAGTCATCCAAAATTTTACACTTGTACTTCAATAATTGAAGTAACCTTATTGCAAGACAAGTAAATAGCTTTGCAGCACAACCAATCTTAAAGGATATTAAGTATACATGTTCTATTATATCATGTAATTATTCTTTTTCTCTTTCTTCAGTTACCGATTATTATGGTGGTTGCTTTCTCTATGTGCATTATTTGTTTGCTAATGGCTGGTAAGTCACTATTTAGTTTGACTTCACAAAATTAGCTTGCTTGTATATTGTTTTTTGTTTGTTTCTTTTAATAAATGGGTGTTAGAAACTATTTAGTATATATTTGCTTGCCTCTCAGTCATACTAAAAGGTGTCCAAGCATGGCTCTGGAGACTGAGGGTCAGCACTACGTCATTAATGTGAAAAAACTGAGGTACTATAGAAAATGAAGCTAAAATTAGTAGAAGTAATTTAGGTGTCATTTAATTGCCCCAACATTTAGTCAGTTGCACTTCAGTTGGATGTCTGGCTTTGCTATAGGCTGGATGAATCCCTTCACAAATGCCTACCTAATTCTGAGCAGAAAGTCAATCCAGATAAGGCAGATGTTGGTGTAAGCTTGGTCTGAAAGATGCCCCCCTTGATCTAAATCCATGTGACAAATTGTGGAGTTCTCGCCTTTTGCCTTTGCCTTGAGTTTTATAACATGAGTGCCAATGGAGTACTTGACTCCGTGACCTCTGTAGCTGTGTTTAAAGTGCTGTTGGAGTTGTGTGTGGCAAACAGCAGAATGCTAGCTTAAGAACAAATAATTGTGGCTTGTCAACCTCTAGGAGAGGAGGTATGACATAGTATAACAAAAGACCCTAGTACCTGTGGACGTGCTTTCAACTTCAACGTTTGATGGCAGATCTCTGTGGGAGGGCTTGGGCAACTATTTTGCTTTTGTATTAAAATACTCTTATAGGTAATGAGAGATAATGACATGAAGTGTTTATCGACTCTCAACAGGTGATACATGGACTGAGACATTGGCCTATGTACTGTTCTGGGGAAGTGCAAGCTTTGGAACTTTTGCTATCATCCTTTACAACGGCAAGGATTTTGTAGATGCACCCAAACTGGTCCAGAAAGAGAAGATGGACTGAATTTGTGTGTGTGGAAAGCGGCTTGGTACAGAGGATTCCTCAAGCCACACCTGGAGTCTCTACTGACCTGCTTTCCACACCAAATAGTGGTCTTTTTAACGTTCATCCTTGGCAGCACGGGGAGAAAGTGAATCGTCTTCTTTCGTGGTAGCTTTCAGCTGAGATCTGACTCTACAGTCTTGGTTGCAGTGATCTTTGGAATGTTGCATTAGTGGAGGAGGCTCCACCCTTACCAAGATAATTCAAAGATGAAAGCCAGCTTTGTGGCGTCTGGAGTGTTACAAGATATAAATGGACTGCGTAAGTTCGCAGTCCACCTGGGTAGTCTCATCTGAATTTTTGATCTCTGGTTTGACAGGAGAGAGCCCTCATTCTGTTCATGTGTCAACCTATCCAGGTGTTGGAGTATTATTAATAGAGGGGTCTAATCATGTTCTTTGAGCAATATGGCTTAATAGCAGTAACTTGTTCTTAGATTTACAGCTGGATTACATTTGTTAAAGTCCACGTTAAGGAGTCTTTTGTGCATATTTATGTATTTTTCACTAAACATAAAGGATTGAATCCTAATGCTTCTCCTCTAAAATAAGCTTTGCACCCTGTCTTATCTAGGACTGATGCAATATTCTACTAATCATTGTTTGGGTGAAAGGACAGTGTATTTGGATGCTTCTGAAATTGCAAATGTCTTGCACTGTTTCAATACTGCAGTCTTTAGATGATGATTCATTAGTTAGTGAGTTAAAATATATAACCTTCTTTCTAAAGACGTAAATGAAATCAAAGAATGTAAACTCCTCTGCAGTGTTTATTGAACCCTCCTTATGCTGAAGGTCCAAAGTACACCATTATTTTAAGAACGGTCACAAGATTAAAAAAAATGAACTTCATATTATTTTGCTAGTCAGCTGCTTCTATATTTTTTGGTTATGTTAGAATAATTTATGGAAGAAGGAGTAACAACCTGAGGAGAAAAGCGTTAGGCAAAACCCCATGTTTGCACTTGGGAGCAACAGCTTGCTTTTCGTGCATGATGTTGTAACACACTCTTAAAAACAAAAACAAGAAACTAAGCTACAAAATAACTTGTGCTGGTTAACCATGAATGTGTGTCTTTAAACTTAGTGCTTCCAAGCTGTATAAAAATAAGTAATCCTAATCAAGGACCAATTTTAAACTATTTTGTCACTTATTTTATATGGTTTGTTCAAAACCAGACGTGAAACTTGCTTTGGGCGCTGTGCATTGTTTAATATTTCCTGTAAGTACAGCTGTATATTCAGATTGCGGTTATAAAGCTTAAATGGGGAGAAGGGAGAAACATGTAGAATACTAGGGCTAGCACAGTTGTCACTGTTGAAGCGAGAACACAAAACACTGATACTGCAGTGTTTCATTGTGTTATGACTGAAAATATGTACAGATTTTTGCAATTGTTAACTGTTCATTTTAACCTTGAATGTTTCTGGAGGCCTCTCTGGGTTTTGTTTAAAGGTAATCTGTTCATAAGCACTAGTAATTGCAAAGTATCTGTTTGCTTTTAGATGCTGTAATGGAAATGCCAGTTGAGACAGTTAACTGGAAAATCCTCTAACTTAAAATTTTCAAACATGAACTCCATAATGGATATAAAGTATAAGAACATCATAGACTATCTAAAAGTACTGTTTTGGGGGGTTTGGGTATTTTTTCTTTTTTAAATGGCTCACTGGCAGGTGGCATTTGAAACTTGGTTCAGTTGTCTTGCAGTCTGTAACTAGATATCTGCGTCTTCGGTGAAGAACCCGTTGCAACAAAGACCAAACTTGAATTGCTAGTATAAACACGTTGTAAGACATAGACTAACGTAGGTTTTCAAAGTTGGAGGGCATCTGTATTTCAGTGCTTTGCAAAGAGTCTGTATTTCTAAAGTCACAAATGGTGTACTCATAAATGACAATAAAATGTCCAACTTTTCTATATACTGTCAGTTGTGTTTTGTGCTTTGAGTGGACTTTTTCCAAACGGTTCAAGGTCTTTTTCCACCAGAAAGATGCTTCCGATTTGTTGCGGTTCATAGCAGGTAAAGATCCTGCTGTTTCTGTGCTTAAATATTGACGATCTTGCACTGAGCACCAAGCATTTTCATTAGCATCGTGTTCTGCTCTTCCGTGCCAATTCTGGATCTTACATTTCTGAGAACTGTTACGGGTGGATTTTTCTTGAGATTAAGCGCAAGCCTCACCTCTTCTCAGTGTTCAAGGCTCTCGTACTTTCCCAACACTAGTTTGGTGGGTTGTTTTGTTGTATTGGGTTGTTTTTTTTTTGTGGACAATAATAGCCCCTCAAAGTGAAAATTCAAGTCACTATCCTTTTTCCTTCCCTCACTGCAGATAGGCATGAGGGTTTTTTTTTTAAGTCTGTTTTTTCATGCTTGTGTTGCAGTTTGCTAGAGCAACCCGCTGGCCTGTTGGAAACAGTCAAATGCACTTGTCTAAATGCAGAGGTTCTGAACAAGCTGTTTCTGAATGACTAATGAAATAATAGTTTGAGTGTAGTGTTGACATTTTAAATAGGATCAAGCTTCACTAGATGACTAGGTGTGCACAATCATATAAGATGATTGCTAGTAAAATTGTATACTGGTATAACAAAATTGGTCCTGAAGCCATTAGTTGAAAGAACTTGTTTTTTTTTTCTTTTTAAACTTTGTCATCTTTTGTGGGGGGAGAGGGGTAGACTTTTAAGTTTAGAGCAGCTTTACTGGGAAGCAACTTGGGAAAATACTGAAATAATTGCCTGAAAGGTAAGGCAAATGTAGTGGCAGAGCTCCGTGCCCTACAAGTAGGGTTGGTTGGCCCAGAACAAAATGTGAAGTTCAGCAGCATTTGTTTGTGAATCTACTTCCATCTGGCTCTTTTTTTTTTTAAATCTAATTCTTTTTTCTTCATATTTACACTCTTGTTTCTTGTTTCTTTTCTCCCCCTGTCATTAAACTGTTAGGCAAAAAAGGAAAATCAAGAAGAGGAAAGAAACGGCCCTTGCTCTTTCCTGGCTTCCCTGTGGTGAAATCCTACCGCCCAGCATAACCTTCCCTTGCCCCCCAGCTGCTCCTTAGGGCCTGCGTCATATAATGTTGCATAAACAGTCACTTTATGGGAGCAAACGCTTTATATAAAAAATTATTTTTACCTCAACCCTCAGGTTTTTGCTAAAAAACGGTGTTTGGGGGGGGGTGGTGTTTTTGTGTTTTTTTTTTTTTTTTTTAATATCGTGGCAGTGGGTACTGCATAGAGGGAAAAATCTCGAGCTGTGCTTCGAGCCCTGTTACCGGCTGGTTTGGAAAAGACTGTTATCCTGGCCTCTTTTAATGTTACAAAAATAATAATCATTATTTAAGCCCGCCCGCCCGCTCCCTGCCTTCGCGCCCCTGCGCACTGCGCATGCGCTGACCCCCCTCCCCCGCTGGG